TCAATAAGATCAAAAAAAAATATTCATCAGTATGTAATTTGTATCTAAATGTAATTTCAAAAAAAAATCGGGTCATACGGGTACTTACATATAAAAATACATATAACAAACATTGCACCACAAGCGTTTTTATCATAAAGTATTATGTATATTTGTAACATTCGACCTTTGCCGTCTGTCTTTAACTTATATTGTTCTTTTTAACATATAACTGATGTGAAGCATCAACGTTGCGGGAATTCTGCAGTTTGCGATCATATCATGACACCGATTCCTGCCAAGGATGATGCGTGAGGCTATTGAAATTAAAAAACAATCTAATTTCAATAGAGAAGGAGGCTGGGTACTACCACCTGCTTAGGATCCTATAATCAATAAAATTAAAACTAAACCCAAGCATACCACTGCAAGACCTCAGGGTATAGTCAGTTCATTTTGCAAAGATCGGACCATAAACAATAATTAAAAAAGCTGAAGGTACTCCGGGTTTAACAATGACATCGGGACGTCAATCATCTCAGTCCCCCGTGACCATGGGTGCTGGAAAGCGCCCGAAACGTCGGGAATTACAAATAAAAGTAATTAAAAGTAAAATAAACGCGATAAAATCCGTAAAAGTAGTTTTAATCAATGTGTAGTGTTCGCGTAAATATACGCGCATGCACACACACACACACATACACACACACACACACACACACACACACACACACACACACACACACACACACACACACACACACACACACACACACACCACACACACACATCACACACACACACACACACACACTCGCACACTGTTTCTCTTATGTTAAATGTATTTAGTTAAGGGAGGGCGATGGCCTTGTACCACAAGTATCTTTATACTTATTCTTTATATATATTAAAGAAGTCCTCAAACTCGTACTAATATAAGAAGATGTTGGAAACAAATTTTCATTTGATTTCATTTCAAGTGTGCGTGTGTGCGCAGGGCGCGCGTGGTGTCGCGCGTGTCGGGCGGCACGCCGCTGGCGCTGCTGCCGCCGCGCCGCGACCTCCCGCAGTATCCGCAGCAGTCACAGCAGACGCTGCAGCCGCTGGATGCTGTGGACATCCTGCAGCTTCCCATCGTGTTTGCAGACGACGAGCCGCCTGCGCTCGTTCCGCCTGCGCTCGTTGCGCCAGGTGACACATCTAAAATTTTAATGGTCTTTCGAGCTAGACACATTTATCTCAGTTTTGATGTTAGAAATTACTCTCAAAAATATTTAAATAAAGGAATATAACTTGGTCATAACATTATGTTATATCACAAATGAAATATAAGTTATGTGAAAATTGGAAATAAATACATGATAACATTAAAATACTGGTTGGGACAGAATGTCCCTGAAGGGTGAATTGGTCAATTTGAAGGGTGAATTGGAAAAAAAAGCTTTAAGATTCGTAAAAAAGGTTTTTATTGTTTAAAAGTACACAAATTACTATGTTTTTTTCATGATTTTTTGAAAATTATAATGTCTAAATGGCGGTCTTAGCAAGTAATAACCATATTGAACCTTTCAAAGAAGTGTTCAGCCACTCTCCCCAGCATATCTTGAGGAGTTTCAGCGGTAAAGACCTCAATCGTCTGTTTTAGAGTTTCAAAGTTTCGAGGTCGAAGTTTGTATATACCAGCTTTGACGTATCCATCCCCATAGAAGAGAGTCACACGGGGTTAAATCGGGGGAGCGAGGGGACTATGGAATATACCCCTACAAAGAGGTCATGCAACCGGAAACGAGCATTTGCAAAGAAGAAGACTTCTGTGTTGTGCTCCTTGCTATAATTTTCCACGTGGGGGCGCAGTCTTAATCCAACTAGTTTTGTAGGAACTGTGGATCCGTTAACGTTATCACTACAAAAGCCCGTTACATACTAGACCACGGCAAGGTGACTACTGGAAACGGTATTGCTCCCCCGATATAAAGGCTTCTGCCACGCCTCTACTCGGTCTGAGAGTCTTTCAGTGAGTTTTTGAAACTAGGAACTGTATTATGCCCCACCCGGTAGATGAAGTATGCAAATCTGAGGAAATATAAGGTTAACAGGACAGCGTCTTTACAATATAACTTGTTTTACATTTAGTAAAGTTATTACCTCAACGGGGAAAATTTATTACAGTTGTACTCGTAGAATTACTGAACGATTTCTAAAATGATTGAATGACTGCTCGTAGCTTCCTATGCGGTACTTTATACTGGTAGAACAAGTGGTACAGTTCTACTTGTGTGTTTACTAGAATGTGTAAGTCAAAGTGTTCTGCGCAGAGTCGAACATCGCGGAGGGCGCGCTGACTGTGCGGAGCGGGGTCGTGCGCGGCGGAGGGGGTGCGGTCGGGAGCGTGCGCGGTGCGGGGCGCGGGCGAGGCGCGCGCGGGCGCCTTACGCGCATCATCGTGGCGCGCCGTGCACCCGCCGCCCCCGCGCCCCCGCACATCTCCCCGCGACAATACCAACGAGTGGCACCGCCCTAGCGTGTATCGACCAACGTGCTACGTAGAATTAATAAAACGTCATTTAATAATGAACCGTGTATTAATTAAAACCTAAAAACTACACAACATCGCTTTCTTCAATAAATCAACCAAAATAGGAAACTGTACAATAAAACACTCTCGATTGCTAAACGTCTATTCACAAGCTTTGGCAAACTATCTACAATCATCATTATTTTTCTTGTAAGTAATTACCACCTACCCTATACACAGTCTGTTCAAAAAGTATCGCGAATTTTGTATTTTTTCAAAAAGTATTTATTTATTAATGAATATCTATTTTGTCTCCTTCAAAGTAATCCTCCTCGGATATAATGCACTTGTGCCAACGTTTTTTCCAATCCTCGAAGCACTTAAAAAAATCATTTTTCGTGATCTTCTTCAGCTCCTCCTTCGATGCCGTCCTTATCCCCTCAATCGTGGCGTAGCATCGTGCTTTCATGGGCCTCTTCAGTTTTAGGAACAGGAAAAAGTCACAGGGGACCAGGTCTGGGGAATACGGTGGCTGTGGGACCTTTACTGTGTTGTTTTTGGTTAAATATTCGGGCTCAAGCACCGACGTGTGAGCCCGCTACTCACATTACACATTATCATGGTGCAAAAGCTAGTTTTTGTTCTTCCACAAATCCGGGCGTTTCTGGCAGATTGCTTCGCGCAAATTGTGCGTAACTTGCAGATAATATTCCTTATTGACCGTACTCCCTGTTGAAAGAACTCATGATGCACCACGCCTCTGCCATCGAAGAAAACTGTAAGCAAAACCTTCACGTTTGACCGAACTTGGCACGCTTTTTTCGGTCTTGACTCATGCGGCAGCTTCCATTGGGATGATCGAGCTTTGATTTCCACGTCATAACCACAAACCCATGTATCGTAACAAGTTATGACCCTCTGGAGCATATTTGGATCGTCACCGACCGATTCCAACATCTCCTGAGCAATGTTAACGCGATGCTGTTTTTGGTCGAAAGTGAGCAATTTTGGCACGAATTTCGCGGCGACCCGACTCATGCCCAAATAATTAGTTACCATCGAATGGCAAAAGCTAATCGATATGTTTAGGTCCTCAGTAACTTCTCCAACGGTGATTCGATGATTGGTTATTTTTAATATATTGATATTTTATCATCATATAAACATTTTATATAATAACCAAAAGTGTGTACTTCATTATTCTAATTATTATGTGTGAAAGGCTTGGATGGATCATTAGAACATGATTCTATTGGTTTTAAACATGCTTCAAAATCAGCATTAACTACGAATGGCATCTCTAACTTTTTTTCATAACTATCAAATTCAATTTAATCATTTGAAATAGGTTGACCCACAAACTAATAAGAGTACGTACACATACGAGTACGTACGTGTACGTACAGATGACCGTCTTCCATACAAAAAAATTGGTCTATAGCGAGCACTGACCTCTATATATACAAGTACGCTGGACTGGCTATACCAATAAAAAATTACTGCAATTTAAAACGCCGCTAAAGGATGTCTTGAAAACTAAAATTGACATAATATGCCAAAGTCTGTTGTCTTATTTATATTGTCATTAAGTCTGTATTTTGAACTTTTAAACTAAAAACGAAAGTATTTGATGTTGTTTGATTGTGTATAATATTAGTTAGTACATAATAAGAATTATTTTTATTAATAATGAGATTGTGCGTAATCTGTAAAACTCGTTACCAAAAGGGAAGTGGTATAACATTTCACAAGTAAGTGAATTTGCAGCAAATATTAAACAAATTAAAGCTATTTGATAATATAAGTACTTAAAAATTTGTTACTAATCTTAATATAATATTATATACCAACATGTTTGGCTGTATATTACTGAGTTTTGATAAACAATAAAATTCAATAGGGTTGTCGAGTTCCTTGTCTAAAATACTTATCGATGTTCTTTCCTACCCATATCTGTTAACAAACAAAGTCGCCAACAACAGATTATTATCAAATTTTTATTAATTAACAGGTTTCCAACCGAACCTAGACTAAAATTATGGCCTAAAAGCATAAATATTGTGAATTGGCGTCGGATACAAAATGATCATATTTGTTCCAAACATTTCACAGACGACTAGACATGAGAACTGCATCACTTTGAAAAAGTGCAGTATACCGACAATATTTTCTGGTAGTACCAGTACCAGTAAGTATAAAATTATTAGATTATTATTTCGAATGTTTTTTTTATTTCTTCTTTCCTCATTTTCCACCAAACTCAAGGGCCATAGCTAAGTGTCGAAAAGTCGCCTGATGATGTCGAGCTACGTTGGATGAGTGTTAGTGGGCTGCGGCTAGAGGAGATTCCTCTCCATGTACCGGTGTAGTCGAGGTGGAGTCGTAATGGAAGAGGAGTGTTGGTATGGCGATTGGCGATGCGCCACTCGACTACCTTTCGCGACTTTGGTGAGGCTGCACCACTTAATGCTACCAAGTGCTCATTTTCCCTGACTCCATTCACATATCGGGCTCGGGGAATCCATAGTGCAGGTGGAGTTAGAGGCCACGAAGGGCGGTGTGGCTTGTGTTTCTGGTGCGCCTTATCTGAGAATGAAAATGGGGAGAAGTCAGCAACTAAGGAGGGGTTGCCATTGGGCGCCTGGCGCCTAAGGGGCCGCGAATGTGCATGGAAGCGTTTCCGTGGCCCTGCCAATTTGCGGCAGAGGTAGAACACCAAGGGGTTTTAGTAAGTGCGAGTCTGGAGATTTAATTCTCTCTCGATTCTCAAAATTTAATTTGTGCCTTAACTTCGTAGTGGCCCTACTTTAATTTCTTTCTTATTTACAAATTCTGGCCATCGTTTACATTCACGGTTTTTGACAGCTTCCTCTTGCGCAATATCCACCGACAAAGGTAATCAAGTGTTCGCTCAAGATAATTGATAGAATCAGGCGTTACCTTGCGGAAATCCATTATAATAAAAAATAAAAATATAAATTTCTTCGCAACCTTCCGCTAAATAAATACAATGATGTGTCTTACCTGGATTAAAGAGCACCTCCCACCCTCCCTCAATTGCATGCACTAACTCCGTCACCACTAGTCCCAGCACCACTATTCCAGGTAAGACACACCATCGACGATAATAAGACACGTGTTTCGCCCTCTACACGAGGTATCCTCAGGTAATGTAGATTCTACGGCAGCTGACCGCTAAGTGAGCGGCGAGTCGAAACATCTGCTATTTATACATGCCGACACAATCGCTCCCCACCAAAGTAGCGAGTGACCGCGCCGTGCTATAACAAACCTGCGACTAAATATCATTATTGTTATGATTAATATTTTTAAATCCTATTATTATTATTATTGTTTTATTGATATTACTAGCTGTTACCCGCGGCTTCGCCCGAATGGTCACTGGGAAATGAAAGATCCATTGCTTTTTGAATTGAAAGAAAACTGAGTTTTATAGATTTGTCAAAGATGCAGCCATTAAAAGGAAACTGAACAAAATTGATTCGTCAGCCTATTTAAATGTTTTGAAACGCAGAGTATAGGAAAGCATGAAAATAGCCTGTTTATTACAAATGGAAATGGGATATTTTTTTAATTAAAGGAAACTAAGCATAATTATACGTCAGGGATGCAGACTTTTGAAAAGAAACTGAGCTAAATTAATTCGTCAGAGATGCAGTTTTCTGAATTGAAAGGAAACTGAGCCAAATAAAAGATCCGTCAGAGATGCAGCCTTTTGAGTTCAAAGGCAACTGAGCTTAATAGGTCCGTCAGAGGTGCAGCATTTGGAATTGAAAAGAAACTGAGCTAAATAGGACATTTTTAATTGAAAGGGAAGATCTGTGAGAAATTCTGATTAATTGATTGTGGGAATTTTGGAAAAAAAATAACTGAACACTATTTTAAGACGCTACTGTACACAATGTTATATGTTTTTCCATTCGGGGAAAGAATGTGGAGATTCTGGGCATTTGACACACGCGAACATGCTATATACAGCTGAACATGAGAGAAGCACGGTTTTTCTAAGTTGACCCCTGCTACCTGTAACGTTTACCCTTGCGCTTTATTAATTGTCATTGCAAAACTGAGCTTAATAGGGAACTGCATCCTTTTGAATTGAAAAGGAAGATCCGTGGGAATTATAGGGATCCGTGGTATAATAACATTGTCACCTTTTCTTACGCATGTCAAAATTGTAGCACCGATTATGTTCCGTCCAAGATGTGTCACACGCAGCCTTGTCCCGTTACATAACCGAGGAGCATCGAAATTTTGCATTAGCATGACTGGGACGCCTAATTTTAATTGAAGCTTATGTGGGGCATACCTGACAACTCTAGAGAATTTAGAAACTCTACGGGATATGACGTGCTCTGTTCTGTGTCCATAACTGTGTCTACTGACAAATACTCTGTTATTTCTCATGCTACTTCGTTTAATATATCTGAATTTATTTTGTTAACGCTCTCATTTTTTGGTGCAAGAATCGCCCTTTCACATAACCATTTGTCTTCATGCATGTTGTTCGTTAAATATGAACAAACGCTCGCAATTAATTATGAATGACTCTGTACTAAATTACAAAAATCTCTCGTTAATTTAACGCAGCCCTCAGCATCCGTTTCCAACCGCCCATCGCCAATTTTTAATAGTGTGTCAGCATAGTTTCCAGCATTGATATCATTACAAATGCACTCTCATATTCGTAGTTAAACTGAATTTCGTCACCTTGTTCCATAAAATAGACGACTTGAGGCATGCTTTAATTTCATCTGCAGTTGTGCCCTTTTGAATGACAGGTAAAGTTTGAAGAAAGTCACCAGCCAGTAAAACCGCCATTCCTCCTATTACATCGGTATTGCTGCGCAAATCCGCGGAGCGTTCGATTTAGTGCTTCTACATCTTTTTTATGCGACATTGTACTTTCGTCCCATACTAAAAGTTTGCATTTTCGTAGCATTATACCTCGTGCACTATTTTTGGTAAAGTTGCAGATCGGCGAT